CAATAAGAAACAGAAATCAATTTAAAGTGTTACTGCCGAAAAAAGAGGAAACTGTATATAACTCCGACAACGACAAAAATATAAAAATAACATATAGAACTACAAATAAACAGAAAACAACAAAAAACAGCTGTTAAAAATAACTGGCTAAATTATGTGTATATTATAAAAATGTTTTTTTTTGTTTATTGTTTCATAGAAAGAAACTACACCTAACAGGAAAAAAATATATACATATTTCATTTAAAAACCGATCTTCTATGTTTTAAATGAAAACCAGTCTCGAGAATAAATTATAATACGATTGCTAACCAGATTGCTTCCTTTTATATACGAAAAAAAATCCATTTTTATCATGTCACAGATCAATTCTTGTCCCTTTTTTCTCTTTTGAAGCTTTAACGAATACTTTTTAGAATTGTTTTTGTGCAAGAATACAAAATAAAACCAATCATGCAGTATTTATGATTTATGCATCACTTCTGGAGAGGTCAGCAGTAAAGTTCAAAAATTGTCGAACAGCAATGTACTAATTCTTTTAAGTTGACTTCATAATAGTGAATCTTTGGTCAAGTTCGAAAAACTTCCAGATCCGGCTGAAAAGAAATTAAAAACATAAAAGAATTTGAAGAATTCTTCTTTTTGTTCTCACCTGCTTGGCAGACATTTTCTGTTGTATCCATTCTTGTGAATGAAGTGCGGGAATGTAGTCTAAAATAAGAGGAAAATGTGACGCAAATATTATGAAGATCTAATTCAAAACAAAAAAAAAGGATTTTTCAAATGAAGAGCAACTATTGATATTTACTTTGTCATATGTCTGGCGATCACCATTTCAATTTTATTGTTCCATGGATTTAGGAATGGTTCAAATACAGTTCGAATATTCACATAAGAATTACCATCTTTTGAGCAAAAACGATAAATATCACTCATCAATTTTTGACCATTCATACAAGCTAGAAAAATAAATAATCAATATATTCTAATATTGTGAGATGATCAAATGTCATACCATTTTTAAACAAAGTTTTTATGCTTTCTTGATCATGTATATGTATGTGCTGAAGTAAAGGTGAACCAATGAGTTCTTGAGAAACATATCCGAATATTGTATAACACCTAGATAAACAATAAATATAACATCATAAGTAATAAAAATATAGAACCAAATTCATAGCAGCACACATACGTCTGTTCAACATAAATAAACTTTCCTTCCATATTTAACTTTGATATTAATTCTAATTCAATATCCTCATCCTCTTCATTGTCATTTTGTTCTTGTTGTGAAGAAGGTATGGAGCCAACAGCAAGCAGACATGTGCTCAGATCCTGACTATTTGTTGGCAATCTGTTAGCACTGCTATCATTACTGCTATGTCGCTGATCTTGTGCTATTGCTAAGGGCAATCTTTTGATATAACCAACAAAATCAATCACTACAAATTGTTCTAAAAGAATAACAAGTTTGCAACGCAATAAAAAAACCATTGCGAAGTTTCAACTATTATGTGTAATAGTGACTAATGAGACTCTGAATCTGCAAATAGATGCTTTATTGTTATTTCAGAACTACAAAAGATTTTTCTTCTGTTCATTTACGTGAGAGGTGAGAGAGTTTCGAAATCTGAAGTTTAAGATAGAAAGAAGAAAAACTGCTTATAGTCATTTGTTTATTTAATAAGAAGCCGACAGAAAAGTTTTCGTGTACTTCTTAGAATCGTGTTCAGCGCGAGTCCCTATCAGAAATTGGCATATCCGCTCGATTCTTGTTGTTAAAACACTTGATTGACGAGGTAGGTTACTTTAGCTTACCAAACATATCATAAATGTTTCTCATATTCTTTATGTTTGAACAAATCCGACAAGAAAATGATCGCTTCGAACAACTATCAAAACATGGCGATTCTGTGGACACTGCGTCTAAAAAAATATACATTTCTATAAGTTAGAAAGAATAGCGCTATCTGCAAATAGATATGATCTGTATACCAAATTTTTCGTACTTTTATCATTGGTACACGTATTTTTTATTCCATTTTTAAACTCTAATTGTTCTTTAACAAGTTCAATATCATCCAAATGGATAATATCATAGAAAACTTGACCAACTAGATTCGCCTATATGAGACAAAAACAACAATAACAAACTTAATTAATAAGTATAATAGATGCGTACCGCTTTGTGACCCAAAACTTTCTCACTTGCTTCTGAACAGTAGGAAATTCGCCCATTTTTACATTGGATTATAACAAAAAAATATATTTCCTTATATTCTATTGTGGCTAATGTTAGTTTTAATAATTCGTCGTTTTTCAAGTAAGTTTGGTCTCCAAAAATATTTAATGAAAATGAAGCTGATTTTTCTAGACAAGAATGAATAACCTTCTCAATTAAAAAATAAAATCAATGGAACACACACGTTAGAGACATGGTACAACATGATCAGGTAGACCAACAACATACTAACTAGTAATAAATAATATTTACCTTTTGAACTTTTTAACGTATCAATGGCTGCTCTCAGCACAGTGGTTTTGTCTAATCTTTTATTGTGTTCAATTCGTAGTTGACGTGTTATATCTTCGATATAACGGTTCATTTTTTCACGACGACGACGTTCTATTTCACTATGAGTTTGTCTTATAAATAAAAAATATATAATTAAATAGTCTAATGCTCAGTAATTATTCTGTAACATTTTTTCCTACCTTGCTCGTTTAGGTTTTTTTGATGAAACTTCATTGCCATTCGTTCTTAATTCACCTTGTACCATTGCTTGTGCATTACTCGAATGAGATGTTTCATTATCATCAAATTCAATGGAATTTGAATCTTGAATACTACTGTGCAGTATCCGAAAAAACATTTTTATTTAAATTAGATATAAATATGGAAAAAAAAGCTCACAATTGTGTAAGGTCTCTTTCTCTAATCAAAATACATCAGAAATGAGCAACTCTATCATTAACTAAAATATTAATTTTTCCTCATTTTTGGTTTGTGTATATTCGACTAATACTGTATGCAAATTTTTCGGATACTTTTGCTCTAAAGCAAATACTCGAAAAACATGTACATCATGTACGTACTTAGCTCAGAAATAAATAAACAAGACATAGTTAATATAGTTAACATAAATCGGTCAAAACAACAAACGTCTTCTCTCGGCTGTTGATGAAGGCCCGTAGCTAGGATTTTGCTAAAGGGGGTGCACTATAGATATAAATCGATATACCGATTCTCTTGCATTTTGTTCTTTTATTGTAGCGGTTCTGATTCCGATATACCTGTCTGCGCTCTTTTTCTTCCGAAGCAAAATCTCAAGGGGTATATCCGAGCGCAACGGGCACTCCCTCTGGCTACGGACCTGTGTTGATCTTCACGAATCTGTCTGATCTGTCTATGAATCGAAAAGATAAAAAACCAACAGTACACTCTTACCTGTACAGCTCGGTTAAATCTTTTACATGTGAAGGTACCATAATGGCATCTAAAAACCAATAGAATTTGTGTATACGTATCCGAATAAAAACAAGGCGAACTGGTGCAAAAGAAATTTTTTGAGCCCAATGATTACATAGTGTAATCAACGACATAGGATAATGACTAGTACATGAACTCAAACATGGGTATGTGTATACGTCATCGTCATTATCATAAAACAGAGGTTAACACGTCAACTAAAAAGAAACAAAAAAAATGAACAGCTTTGTAGGCCGTACCACACTCAAGGAACACAATCTAAAGGTCAAACAAAAAAGGATTCTTTTGTTTTTATTTTATTGCGCTCATCCATTCATTTCATATGGTTCATTTTCTTTTATTTTCTTCTCGCTTTCTAGTTCGCTCTCCTTCGCTCTCCATATCTCGCGAACTTATATAAGGCATCAGCCAATGAGATTTTTGGTTTTTTACCTCTAGTGGTGTAAGACTTAGCTTATGTCTGCAGTTCCTATTCGAAGTTTCCTGAGGGTAATAACTGAGAACATAATGACAGGTATGATACGATAGTTTAATTATTTTAAAATAATAATTGGATTTGTTAGAATGTAGCACTTCATCCCGAAGGGCTTTTAGGGTCAAGATAGTAGTCTTGACTATTGCGCGAGAGGGCAACATAAAGAGGGCGCGTCGCTCCCATCCCACTTTTTAAACTTTATGTTTAAATTAAAACGCTATTTTTTACATTGAGTTACGCCGTCTTTACAGATCAGAATGAAACCGTTCAAAAATTGGAAAAAGTCGGAAGATAAATACAATTATAGCTGGAAGTTCATTTCTTGATGATAAAGTGGCCGTGATTCTGAATGAATGAATGAATGAATTTTATTCACGAAAAGTGAGAGTCATCAAAGGTCATCGACCTATAAAACAATGACTCGAGCCAAACAACAACAAAAGAATCTATAAATAGAAAAAAAAGAATAAATAAATA